TCCTCTGACTCCAGCGCTGAGGCCTCTGCTGCTGAAAGCAGGTATCTGGTTTGTTTGTGTTCTATAATGGATACACTGTTTCAACTCCAGCTCTGAGATTCCAGCTGCTGAAAGCAGGTTTCTGGGGTTTTGTTTAGCTTCTATATTTGTCACTATGTCTCAAACTGCAAGCTCAGAGGCCGGCAAGGCAGGTGGGGAAAGTTGGAGTCCTCCGTCACTGAAGCAAGCAAGCCTCATGTTAGTTTCAAGCCGCCTGGCTGCCGGCCGCCATCTTGGCTGGAAGTTAATTTGCATAGTTCCCTGATTAGCCAATGGGAAGTGTAGCGGTCGTACACCAATTACCATGTTTCTCTTTTATTAGATAGGATGGCACTCCTGGCTCCTTTGTCATGATTGGTTCATTTAGATTTTGGGAGGCTCATATATTTCCCCTATCTTCTCTGTATGGTCTCTCTCTCTTCTTTGTTGTGCAGAAGCTCTTCAATTGTCCTTTAGTTGACTCTCAGGAGAGATTGCTCTAAATATTGGTGCACATTTAGTGTGTTCATGACCTGCATCTTTTTCTAGTTTCTTGAGGTGTAAAGTAAAGTTGTTTATTTGAGATTTTCTTGTTTCTTGTGGTAGACATCACTATGAACTTCTCTCTTAGAACTGCATTTGCTGACTCCCATATTTTGGCCAGTTGTATTTCCATTTTCATTTGTGGTAAGGTATTTTCTTATTTCTCTTTTGACTTCTTCATTGACCCAATGGTGGTTTAGAAGCATGTTGTTTAATATCCACATATTAGTGAAATTTTTAGTTTTCTTCTTGTAATTGAAATTTTTTGTTGTTTTCTACCATTGTGGTCAGAAAAGGTGCTTGATATGAATTCAATCTTTCTAAATTTGTTAAGATTTGTTTTGTGACCTAACCTATGATAGATCCTAGAGAAGTCATGTGTGCTTGAGAATAACGAGCATTCTGATAATTTTGGGTAAAATGTTCTGTTTATACTTGTTAAGTCCTTCTGATTTAATGTGCCATTTAGGTGATTGTTTTTGTATTAATTTACTGTCTCCATGAGCTACTTATTGATATAAGTGGGGCATTAACATCTCTTACTACTATTGTATTGCTGCCTAGTTCCCCCTAGGCCTGTCCTGTTCATGATTGTTTTATATATTTAAATAGGGATATATATTCTCTGTTCTAAGTGCATAAATAACTACAAATGTATATCCTCGTGTTGGATTTATGCCATTGTATAATGTCTGCCTTTTTTTGGTTTCTCATTACATTCTTTGTCTTAAAGTCTTTTTGTTTAATATCAGTCTCACTACTTTAGATTCCTTTTAGTTTCCAATTGCATGGAATATCTCTTATCATTTCTTCATTTTCAGTCTACCATGTCCTTACATCTGAAGTGCATCTCTTGTAGGCAGTATATAGATGGGTCATATTTTTTATTTTTATTTTTTTAAATACATTTTATCGATTTTTAAAAAAATATATTTTATTGGTTTTTCAGAGAGGAAGGGAGAGGGATAGAGAGCTCGAAACATCGATGAGAGAGAAACATTGATTCCTTTTGCACACCCCCCACTGGGGATGAAGCTGGGACCCTTCAGTCCTCAGGCTGACGTTCTATCCACTGAGCCAAACCTGTTAAGGTGAGTCTTATTTTTTACGGGATTCATTTAACCTCTCTATGTTTTTTTTTTTGTTGACAAATTAGTTCATTTACATATAAAGTAATTATTGATAGGTATGTACTTATTGAATTTTTTAATTGTTTTCTGGCCATTTTGTAGTTCCTCTCTTCCTTTCTTCTTTTCTTGCTACCTCTCCTTGTGGTTTGATGACTTTCTTTGTGTATCTAAGTTCTTGCTTTGTCGGTACCATGAGGTTGATATATAACAGCATATTTATAATAGTCTATTTTAAGCTGATAACAATTTATGTTTGAAAAAATTCTAAACTCTACATTTTTAGTCTCCCCCACCACATTTTATGTTTTTGATGTCACATTTTAAATATTTTTATCTTGGGTATTCCATAATTAATTATTGTGATTATAGTAATTATTATTTATTTGGCCCATCTTTCCTTTTTTTTGTTGATGAGTCTGGCTGAAGGTTATCAATTTTGTTTATCTTTTCAAAGAACCAGCTCTTAATTTTATTGATCTCTTACTTTCTTGTTTTGTTTCTATTTTATTTGCATTCTGACCTTTATTATTTCCTCCCCTTTACTAACTTTGGGTTTTGTTTTTTCTAATGCCTTAAGTGTAAAGTTATATTGGTATTTTGAAATTTTCTTGTTTCTTGAGGTGGGCTTGTATAGCTTTGAACTTCCTTCTTAAAACTTCTTCTGTTGTATTCCATAGATTTTGGAGAGTTATGTTTTCATTTTTACCTGTCTCAAGATAGTTTTTTGTTTTCTGGCTGATTTTCTCTTTTATTTATGGGTTGTTTAATAGCATGTTGACTAGTCTCCATGTGTGTTTTTTTTTCCATTTCTTGTGGTTTATTTCTATTTATATGGTGTTTTGGTAAGAAAAGATATGTGGTATGATTTTAATCTTCTTAAATATATTGAAACTGTTCTATGGCCTAACATGTAATCTATTGTGAAGATGTTCCATATGTACTTTAAAAAATGTTTATCCTGCACACTTTGTATGAAATGTTATATAAATAACTATTAAATCCTTGTTTAATTTTTGTTTGTTTAAGAACAATGTGTACTTATTGATTTTCTGTATACATTATCTATTCATTTATTTAAGTGGGTTATTAAAATCCCCTTTTATTATTATTCTGGCAATCTCTCCTTTTATGTCTATTAATATTTGCTGAATATATTAACATGCCTTTATGTTGGGTGTGTAAATATTTGTGAATGTTTTATCTTCTTCTTGGGTTGACAGCTTTATCATTTTGTAATGCCCTTCTTTGTTTCATTTTATAGTCTTTGTTTTAAAGTTTATTTTCAATTTTATTACCCCCGCTTTAAAAAAAATTTTATTTGCATGGAATATTATTTTCCATCCTTCACTTATAGTCTATATGTGTGTTTTGATCCTAAGTGAATCTTTTGTAGGCAATATTTAGATGGATAATGGTTTTTTTATTCATTTAGCCACACTATGTCTTTTGATTAGAACATTTAGTTAATTTACATTTAAAGTAATTGTTGATAGATATGTACTTATTACCATTTTCTTGATTGATTTTTTGGTTGTTTTTGTAGTTCTTCTCTGTTCTTTCCTTTTTTTCTTGTTTTTTTCCCCTGTGATGTTTTGCTTCCCTTTAGTGTTATGTTTGGGTTCCTTTCTCTTTATTTTGCATATCTTTTATAGGTTTTTTTTGTTACCATGAGGTTTATATACATATGTATTATAAGCTGATAGGTATTTAAGTTTGAAAACTTTAAATAGTACCTTTTTACTCACCTTCCACACTTTATTTTCAACATAATGTTTTAGATCTTTTTGTTTTGTGTATTCCCGAACTACTTATGTATTTATGTTT